ATTGCTGAAGAAATTGTAAAGAAATGCAAAGGGTTGCCATTGGCTGTAAAAACCCTTGGAGGAGTTCTTCAGGATGAGCTGGATCGTAAGAGGTGGGTCAAGATACTAAATAGTGAGATATGGGAATTACCAGGAGAAAGCAGTCACATTCTTCCAGCTTTGAGATTGAGTTATCATCATCTTCCTGCCCCTCTAAAAAGGTGTTTTGCCTATTGTGCTGTGTTCCCAAAAGATCATGACTTTGACAAGGATGATTTAGTTTTATTATGGATGGCTGAGGGATTTGTCAAACAGCGGCAGAATGGAGCAAGGCAAATGAAAGACATGGGAGATCAATACTTTCGTGATTTAATTTCAAGAGGGCTTCTCCAACAATCAACCAGTTATGGCAGTAATGAATTATACTTTGTGATGCATGACCTTGTGCATGATTTAGCGCAGTATATTGCAGGAGAAACATGCTGCAATTTCGAAAATCTGATAGAGAGTGAGAAAAAGGAGCGTAATTTTGAAAAGGCACGCTATGTGTCATCCTCTGCTCAAAATGATTTTAGAAGATCTCAGTTTCTGCAAAAACCCAATAGTTGGCGGACGCTCCTATTATATTCTGCTCCTGGACGACCGTATTACGATCATTCTTTGCCAGAGTGTCTACAAAAATCAAGATGCCTGAGGGTCTTATCTCTTCCCTTTTGGAGAACATCCGAATTTCCAAATTCTATTGAGAAATTGAAGCATTTGCGCTACCTGGATTTGTCATGGAGTCCATTACAATGTTTACCGAATTCTGTAAGGTCTCTTGTGTACTTGCAGACAATGATACTATTCGGGTGCAATGAAATCAAGGAGTTGCCGGCAGGAATTGTGGATTTAGTTGACTTACATCATCTTGATATTAGGGGTACGGATAGCTTACAAAAGATGCCACCCCAAATGGGCAGTTTGAAAAATCTTTTGATGTTGCCTAAATTTATTGTGGGACAATCTGATGGGCTGAGATTAAAAGAGTTGAGCAACTTGAAGGATCTACGAGGTAAGCTACTTATCGAAGATCTCCATAATGTCTCCGATGTTCAAGATGCCTGTGAGGCCAACCTATTTAAGATCGAGGGCCTTGAAGAGCTAACATTGGCGTGGACTAATGACTTCCAGACTTCACGAGATGAAAGTAATGAATTGCAGGTTCTCAGGCAGTTAAAGCCTCATTCCAATTTGAAAAGATTAAAAATTGATTCATACGGAGGCTTGAAATTCCCATCTTGGATATGCAGTCCAATGGAATGTATTACTGACTGTCCCCTTCTAGAATCATTAACAGACCTTCTACCTCTTACTCTTGAAACTTTGACCATCTCGGGTTGTGATAACTTTGAACGCCTACCAAATGGACTACATAACCTCACCTCTTTAAAAAAATTGGATATCCAACGTTGCAAAAAGTTCGTGGGCTTTCTGGTGACTGACTTTCCGTTACATCTCCAAGACCTTACCTTAATTAATTTGGAGGCGTTGGAGTCATTACCTGATGAGTTGATGATGACAACAGAAGACGTACATATTTGGGGTTGTCCACGCCTCAAATCTTTTTCGACAGGTGAGTTACTTGCCAGACTTGAAGAGTCCACAGTTGAGAATTCTGAAAAATCTGAGTTCCTACGGGAGGGTGATGATAGCAGCACTGTGACAGTGAATCTTGAAAGAACGAGTGTTTCTGGTTTGGGAAAACTCAATTTCCCCATTGATTGCATGCACAATCTCGGTCGTCTCTGCTACTTATTAATATGTAATTGTAAAAGTTTAGAGTCCTTGCCAGAAAGGTTGCTGTCTACCTCCACTCTTAAAACTCTGGTGATAAGACGTTGTGATAATCTCAAGTCTCTGCCCAATGGAATGGACAACTGCACGTCTCTCCATATAAGCGATTGTCCAGCTATAACATCCATAGCAGGGGGAGGTTTACCTCCGAATCTTAAACAGCTTGAGATCGATTGTGAGGGCTTGAAGCAGTCAACGTTAGAATGGAGGCTTGACACGCTTACGTCTCTTGAGAAACTTGAGATTCACTGGATATGTCCTCCGGATGATTTACTTCCCACTTCCCTAAAAACTCTTTCAATAGAAAGAGTGGGTAATCTGGAATCCATATCTCAAGGGCTCCTCCAAAACCTTGCTTCTCTTCAAAAGTTGAGATTTAGGAATTGCCCGAATCTCAAGAACTTGCCCAAGGAAGGTCTACCTCCCTCGTTGGAAGTGTTCGAAATGAGCGGCTGTCCACTTCTAGAACAACGGTTCTTGAAGGAAAAAGGAGACTACTGGCCCCTTCTATCCAACATTCCGAAAATAAATATACCGTCAATTGGACCCAGGTACAAGAATATCCTACCACATCCTCAGCATGTTCTTCATCTTAATTTGAACATAGAAATTTGTTACTACTATTCCCTCGTTTAGCAAATTAATATATCATTGTTAATTTAAGACAAAACAAGAGGCTTTGTTGCTTCTCTTTTATTTTGGAATAGCCTTTAATTTTCTTATCAATTCTTTCATCTGTTCTTTCAGTTCTGAGGTGTATACTTGTCTCACTTTCGGTGCATTTTTCTTTATGAATTTTGTAAGATGCCGATATTATGTTTGTCAAGCTTATTGAGGTGAAATGTGCACAATCACGCACTGGTTTTCATTTTTTCTGCATCATATCATTTTACTTTTTAGTAATCAAAACTAGTCCTGTTGAAGATTCACTTGTAGATTTCATATTTAGACCGTGAAGCAATCACTTTTTGCTCTACTACATGGAGTCTTCTATATTTAAACTTGAGCTCATAAAAAGGCACGGAAGCTAATGATTTGGCTCTGGCTTGTGTTTATTTGTTTTCTCTGCTTTCCATGATCTGTAGATGGTGGGAGCTAGAGTTCGTGTTTTGAACATTGCTGGAATCAGTGAATTTGAGCAAATTTTGGAGCTGAATCTAATGTGGAACTGGTGGGCATTGATACTGCGGATGCTGGCATCAAACAGAATGTAGAAAATGCATAAGAGAGAGGAGTTGCAGTCTTAAGTAGTGCCAAGTGCAGAAGCTTATGATACTCTTTATGATAGTTTGCTATTAGAGATATATTTGACAAAGTTGATTATTGGAAGCTGGATTCTTTTTCTTTTTAAACCTAATATGATGATACTACTGTCTGTAAAAACACAAAGGCCATGGAGCTTTTATGGCTTCCCACTACCTATTTGGCTCATTTTTATTCTTTTGATACAGTTTGGCTTGTGATGTTTCCAGATTATTGGCGTCTTCCCACTACTGGTGATGTTCACGGAAAAATTTTGAGCATTGGTCCTTCTTGGTGTCTGTTTCCTGTGACAGCTCATAGAAATGGACCTAGAAATGGACCTAGAAATGCCAGAGACATTTGCAATTTTCTATAATTCAAATGATGCTGCCATTAAGCATACAAAAAGTATACAATTTAAACTGCTCTTGTAGTCCATGCTACTACTACTAATCATAAATGGTTGAATTTATTCAGTTACTTTCATGCATCCCAGTCCTTGTGCAAACTTTAAGTCAATCCTCTCACAAAAAGAATTTGCATGGTTAGCATTGGACCTCACAGTGTGTTTCCTGTGTCATATGCATGCCTTTGTCCAATAAAAGAAAGGGAAAATAAAGAAAGAGTTGCCAAGGAAGTATGAAGCTCAGAAAAACAGTTAGTTCCCCTTTGGGCATGAAATGTAAATCAATGGAGGCATTGTTTCATATGCTGATTTCTATGTTATCAATCAGCCTAACCTTTCCAAACCATGCAGCAATGCAGAACACAACAGGGTTCTTGATCCCTTCCACTGCCTCCAAGCTCCCCTGCTTCACAATCTACAAACGATATAAAAAACATAATTGTGACATTTCTAGTTGAACCTTTAAGTTCCTCACAAATAAATATGCTTGTAACTTGGATTGCACTATCCTATTAACATGTGCTTCAACAATAGAGTACACCCTTGATAGAAAAAAACAATACAACATCCTCGTGATATGTCATAATTTACAAATAAAGTACCTTTTTTTTTAAAAAAAAAGGGGATCCTTTTGTAATAACAAAACGTGTCATTGATATTTTGGTGGAGGTTACCAGAATTTGTAATACAATGGACATTAGCAGCAATGTCTTAAAGGGTATCCCATTAAATACAGACTTGGATTTTGGTTATGCATTGCCTCTGGTCTTGTCTTGCCCTGTCTCCCTTCTGAGATGGTTAAGTCCAAAACCATGACGTAATAGTGCTTGAGGAAGGCAGGATGAGAAATTTCAACAATTACAAAGCAAAGATGATTCTTGGAAATTGAAAATAGGCAATAAACAAGCATGGAAAACAGGAAGTTTTAGGGGATTGGATCCACAATCAACTGTTTGTGCATCCAACAAGTTCATGCCAGCTAATGTCAATATGACAACTAATAGCTTACTATCATACCATCATATCCAGTTTCTAAACAGGTGACCAACCAACTTCAATTACGAAGTTTAAAAGATAGAAAGCAGGTAATGTCAATATGACAACTAAATAGCATACTAACATATCCAGCCTCTAAATCAGTCCAAGTGACAGAAAAAAAAAGGGAAGGAAAAGATGTTTTTGACTTACCTCAGCATAATCAATTCTTCCCCCCAGCTTGAGTAATTGTTTGTACGACTGCATCTGTCAATTCTTTACAATTAACAAGACCTATTTTTGCATCAGATTTAGCTCTCAACAATGACCTGTTTATAGATAATGCCTGGGGAAATACAAACAAAATTTCAATTGATGAACAAGAAAGATTATCAGCAATACAAAATAATTTGCTTTGGATTTGTCAAGTTAAGACTCTTCTCAAAATGCTTTCCATCAAACAGATAGTGAAAAAAAAAAAAAAGACTTGAATCCTATACTTTAGACAAGATATGGGATATTTTAAGAAACCATTAGCATGCCTCAAGATTTAAAAAACAAAAAGGATTTTGAGAAAACCTTTTCCCTTTCTTCTGGGGAAAGATGGACATTTCGCGAACTCAATGCAAGACCATCACTATCGCGCACAATATCAGACCCCACAATTTCTGTGCCAAAATCTGGATCTCTAACCTGTAGAAATCAAGCCAAACTAAAAAAAAATAAGCTATCAAATTAACACTGTAATTCATTATTGATTTCCATTACCATCATTCGCATCATTCTTACCAAAAACAAAGGAACAGAAACAGTAAAATGGCTCACCATTCGTTGAATAATCCGCCACTGGTGGTAATCCTTCTTCCCAAATACAGCAACATCAGGCTCCACAATATTGAACAACTTGGTGACAATAGTGGCAACCCCTCTAAAGAACACAGGCCTATTTTTCCCACACAATATATCCTCTCTCCAATCTCTCAACTCCAACCCTTGTTTCGTGCCCCATTCACCTCTCCTCCACACATGGAACCACCCCTTTCTTGTAAGAATTCTTATTTTCCATATTAACATAATCTCACTCTTCTTATTTTCCCTATAGTCATAAAGATTCTTGGGAGCAAAAACAGCGTCAACACCCCCAGGAGCAGACTTGAGATTGAGTATATCACCGTGAAAATCAGATGGGTATGTGGAAAGGTCCTCGGAGGGAGAAAAAGGACCTGGGTTCACATATACGGAGACGACAATGACCTCGGCGTGCTTGTGGGCTTCTTCAACGAGCGACAAGTGGCCTTCGTGAAGGTAACCCATGGTGGCACCAGCCCTATCGTCTTCCCCTGGGATCTCATGCTTCTTGACCATTTCCTCATCTCATCTTTCTCTGTGAAAATCACCGGTTCCTTAACCGCCATTCGATGTCACAAAAGGGTTAGGATTTTGAATTGAAACAAGGGAGAGAAGTGGTCTATGTAGGTATAAAAGTCAAACAAAATAAAGGCGTATCTGTACCAAAAAAAAAAATAAAGGCGTATCACATGCATAAAATGGGGAAGAAATTTAAAAAAAAGTAGTATTTAAATTGAAATAAGGCTCGGCTATTTAGTGTCGCGGGTTTTTTTTTTTTTTTTTTTTTAAGAGACGAAAGTACCATTAACTTGAAGACAAAATTACATCGGCAAAGTCTGGGGAATTCAACCCAATAATATCAGCAACACAAGCACATTTGACAGGTTAGAGAATACAGTAAAAAACAACAAAATCTTCCATAATATTATGCCCCATTTTAGCCAAAATGTCTGTGGACATGTTTGACTTACGCGTCACATGAGAGATCTTCACATAGGGATAAACTGAAGTAGATCCCTGCAGTAAAAAAAAAAAAAGGGAAATTCAATGGGTAATTTTCAACAAAATCCTTAGAAAGTAACTGCCAACTGGAGCCCATCTCTGATTGTCCATAATTCATTTAGTGCCACAGTTTGATTGTTAGATTCTGGGGTTGGGTATTGGACACTAGCAGGCAAATATTCAAGCTTGCACCGAAAGGTCCGAAACTGTGATTTTGAGCCTAAAGCTCATTTCAACCAACCCAAAATCCAAACTTCGGGTCACTTTTTGGCCCACCAAAAGGTTGCGGGCTTTCCTACCTAGGCCTAACCTACGTATCATAAAATTTCAATCTAAGACCGTTGATTGTAATATGTGTCTAATTAAAGGTTCGGTTGGATAAAGGTGAGTAAAGAAAACAGGAGGGAATTGGAAAAGAAAAGGACATTATATAGCACTTCATTAGATGTACCAAAAATAAAATTCTTTAAAATTTTAAACCTCGTTTGAGTTGTTTTAGTAAATTACACAACACTCTTATGATAAACTAATTTGTGCAAACATAATACACATGATTTATAATTTAGTGTTTTAGTTCCATCATTTAGGTAACACCTTATTCCTACTTTTACCAAAGAACCCATCCAAACCCATTTCTACCATTCTACCAC